TACTCTGTATTTTTTCTACAGAGTTGCATAGTAATTTTAATGCACCTAAGTTTTTTTGATCTGAAGGCATTTTGGGTGTTGTAGAATTGATTACAGCTGAATAATGCATTGCATTATAATAATACCTGAATTACTAGGGCTCTGAGAAAAAGCACAGGCCACAGAATTCTAATTACAGTGTTAAAAAAGGTTTGGATGAAGTCTGAATAGCTGCACATCATAATTTCACATTTAAAGTTGAGTTGTGGGTAGTTCAATTGCTTTGTCCTCCCTGGCTGGAGGATACTGCTGATACCCTCAGTGGCTGTGGGAAGAGATGTATATCCTTGCTGAGGATGCTTTGCTTTCTTCGGGGGTTTGGTCAGGAATGTATTTGTTGATATGACATTTTGAAGGGGATGTCGATGTGAATAAGTGTTGTCACTGACGTCAGGGATTCGACTGACTCCTTTTTATTTCTCGTTCAGTGATATTCTTACAGCTGCTTGCAGGAGTTACCAGGTCACATGCAGGAGAATGGCAGCTGTCAGAAATTCCAGCTCACCAGCTATTCCAAGGCTGTGAGTTTAGAGCAATGGCCCATTTTGTTTGATACTGTCTATAGGGATCTCCCTCTGGATGTGTCTCTGCCAGGGGCTCTGTGTCCCAGCGAGGAACAGGGAAGCGTGTCTGGAGTTGGCCTGGTGAAACAGTGAGTGTTTGGGCAGTGCATCCTGCGTTGGGAAATACAGGAATTTGAAATGCATTTCAGGATTACACTTGGAAATAGCAATTTGTCAGAACTGCTCGTGTCTTTGTGAACAGTGTGAATGTAGTTTCCTTTAGATGTGTGGTCAGTCTCCATGATTTCTTTGTTCCTGAGTAGCATCTTGAGATGCTAATAAAGCTCTGATGTCATTTGCTTAATGCAGAGAATTTGATCTATGCTTTCTGGATTCCATTATGACTGAGGCAGATGCAGAGAGCTTTCCTGTGCTGAACGTATGGACCAGTTACAGGGAGGTTATTTGTCGTCGCAATTGCAAGCTGAACGAGCCAATGTCCTATCAGGTGTCTGTCACCAATTTCGGGTTTCTGTATGGAGTCCTGCTGGCTGCCTGATGATCCTTCTTCAGCTGTGATGAGCTAATCTTTCTGTGACACTGTAATCACAGTTCTGGAAAGGTCTGCAGAGCAGTGCCTTGCCTTTGGTCGCTGCTGTGCCTGACACTGACACATCTACACCCAGATCAGTGGAGTCATTCTCCTGTCTTGGATTCATTTGAAATCTGGATGGAATTACGGATGATGAGTCCTAGACTATCCCTATAGGCTTTACTTTGTCATTTGCAGCATAACCAATTTTTGTAAAGGATGTGGTTATTTGCAGCATCCAGGTAGTGATGAACCAGTGATACATGAATCCCGTGCACGTCCTCGGTTGTGCTGCGTTTGGGGGTTGCTGTGTGGTACAGTGACTCTGGACTCACAGCCTGTGCACTGTCAGATTGGCATCTTGTTCTGCACCTCTCAGTTCCACCCACACAGTTTAATTTCGTGGCTGGTTTGCAGAGCAGCCCTAATGGTTTGTGTGTTTATTAGAGAGGTGCTGAAGGAGCACCTACGCGCGTCGAAGGCATGCACACAGCAGCACAAAATTCATTACCCTGCACCACATGCTGCCCATGGTAACGCACAGAGATCACATCTGCCTTCCAGGGCAGAACTTCTGTGCTTGTCTAAACAAAATACTCAGTTTTGGGTTGGTGGGGTTGGTGATTTTTTTTTGTTGTTGTTGGGGGTTTTTTTCCCCTCCTTAGAATCAAGTTTTGTGAAATCTTTGCTTCTGTGTGGGACTCTCACTGTTGACCTAATTCGACCCTCATCTTTGAGCCCTGTCTCTGTTGCCCTGCTGTTCTCTCCAGCACTCACCTGCAGTTCAGAGCTCTGTTATCTGGATACACACTCGAGCAGGAGTGCGAGTGGTTCCACTTCCAGGAGTTATCTTAGCTCCCATGGGTCTTTCCACAGGTGTTGTTCGTGTTTGTCCCTTCCTCCACGTCCTCCTCTCATCTGAGCTGTCTTCTGCCCCACCTTTTTCATCCTTTGTATTCACTCTCAAAGTTCCTGCCATAGCCAGTGAGCTGAAGAAAAGTGATTTCCTTGAAAGATGAGGGATCATGGTGAAGTGTTTCACAGTGCAACTGATCAAAATGGGCCTTTCTCTTTCAGTTGGCAATTATGGCTTCTTAAAATGGAGCAGCAGGATTCCTGAAACTCCAGAACAGTCTGAAATAAATCCTAGAATCCTTTAGTTTTCCACTTTAAGTCGTTTTAAACATTATTTTAGAATGTAACAGAATTCCAGTTTTAAAATAGGTCTCGCAACAGATCAGATGTGGGCTGAAACTTTTCAGCTTTCTACGGGGTCACGAGGTAGCAGCACTGCCCTGGTGAACTTCATTATGCCAGATGAGCATAAAATATTCATGCAAAGGCATAAAGAAAAGGCACCTGTTTTTTCAGTGCATCTGAGAGTCTTAAATCTTAGTCTTATGTTTAAAGTTACTTCTCTTCTGTTAAGATTGCTAATTAAATGTGTAATTTTTTGTATTGAAAATAACTGTGTGATCCAGTCCTGAAATACATGTGCATTTTCTGTAGTATATTACAGATAAGTCAGATTCCTCATCGAGTTGTGTTGTGCACAGGTTTAGAGCCTTTGCAGTGCCGTGGTTTAGCCTCTGTTAGGCACTTACAGTTGGAGAGGGGATTAATGGGTATTTAAGGCACTGACGAACCGAGGCCTAAATTGTAGTTGTTGGAAGCAGCAAGTTTGGGAGTCGCTGGGTGTATCAGAGAAGTTACTGTGAGTATTTTACGTGTGAGCAACGCCATTCATTTCACAGCAGATCTGCAGTTCCGCGCGTGTCCCCTCGAGTATAATGTCATTTGTCAGTAAAAGCGGAGCTGATTAGCTTTATAATTTACAGTTAACTAAATCTGTCAGAAAATGGTCTTATTGTCCAGCTTGTCTTTTTGTACTGGAGCTGCTGCTGGGGGTTGGAGCAGTGTGAGCACCTCGGGGAGGTCAGCGAGGCTGCAAGGCACTAATGCATTCTGAGCTGCAAAGCTCACGCTTGACCTTGATGATTAAAGTTTTTCCTGTCATCTAGCAGCAGTTGAGCCTGAATCGTCTCTTAAGAAGTCAAAAGGTCTAATCAAGCTAATGAACAAACTGAATCATTAGTACTGTGGGAAGGAAGCGTATTAACACTGTAAAGGTTCCCCCAGCTCAGTGTGTGTGTCTGTGGGAATGGTGCACAGCGCGGCTGGACGAGGAGGTGTTGTGCTGATGTACAGCAGAGTTCTGTCCACAGTGTCCATACCCTGCTCTGGCTAGGCCAGAAACTTTGGGTTCTTGTAGATGACACGAAGGGTTGCTTGTTTCCTTTCAAATGTTTTGTTAGTCAGGATTAAATGAAAGCTCAACCTTCGTTGGATAAACTTCTCTGGCAGTGGACTAATTACACTTTCCCTTACCCAATGCTCACAGCTATTTTCACACTCAGAGTGTATCTATGTCAGAGAAATATTTTTCAGGGGTCCTTTGTTACGTTCTGGTAGCTGAATTTGGTGGGAAAGCCTTTTTTATATACTGGTCAAGTAAATGTCAGCTGTTAGTCATTTAAATGCAGTCAAACCTTTCAGACAGTGCACACCTTGATTTTGGAGCCAGAACCTTTGTCATGTGTGTCATGGAGACAGTCACCAGTGACTTGTGTACCAGGCACATACCAGCCAGACCTGGTTTTCCAGCCATTTTCTTCTTGTTTACTTTGAAATGAGTGGTTTCTGACTCTATTTATTCTGATGAGAGCAAAGCCATGGGGAAGAAAAAGAAAAGTGTTTTTCGCACTCATGCTTCTTGCCTGGAAAGAAAGTAGTGATTTTGGTTTTCCCTGCAAATACCTGCTAGAGAAAATCAAAGGCAGGTTATTATCTTTACAATTAATTACCCTGAAGCTGCAGTCACCACATAAGAAACCTGCTTTCTTTTCCAGATCAATGGAGATTCACTGGCCCAAGGAAAGGGTGGCACAGACTCTCCTAAAAGAGCGACTTCTTCGCTCTCTGGGCGAGACCCATCCTGTGCTTAGACACTTGAATTGATCCTTTTGCTTCATCATTTTAGTGCCCTGTTGTCCTGACTTTGCACAGCCAGTGGTAAATGAGATTGCTAATTCCAAGCGTTCAGAAATGGAACGATACCACCTTTTACAGGGGGCTCTGAGGTTTTGTGCTATCTAGTGTTAATTTCGAATGCTCAACAGATGAGGAGTCCAAATATATTTTCATATGAGTCTGAAAAAACCTCCATATTAATTATACATCAGTATAATTTTGTCATTCTTTGTTACTCTCTTGTTTTTAATTCAATAAATATATTTGCTTGCTGCTCTGTGTATTTGTAGATGTGTGGAGGAAATTGGTGCCCTTATGGCAGATGCACAGCAGATTCAGCATTACCATAACTCATTAAAATCAGATAAAAGCAGAGCTGCAAAACAAGTTCCGTCTTTTGCCAGCAAGATTGTGACAAAGGGAAATTCCACTCATTCAGTGTGAGCTGCATCTCTCCCAACTGTGGGGAGAACAGAGTGGACACTCCTGACCAGTTCATGCTGCATCTGCTCGGGCATGTAGGCTGAATATACCAAATTCAGATGACTGTGTGTCACATTTTGGGGACAGTGAGTAAAATTACCTTTTTGGATGATGAAAGTTCTTCACCAGATTTAGCAAAATCTGTGTAAAGCCACAGTGGTTTATTTTTATGGTATGAAATTTGCCAGTTTCAGCCTGTTCTTCAGTCCTGTGGTTGGAACAGTTCACTCATTGTTGGGTGAGGTCTGCTTTAGTCACCTGTTTATTCTGGAAGGGAAGCAGGTGAAATGGAGACAGTGGGTTCAGAGGGATTCAGTCCAAGCTTTTCAGTGTTAATGCTCTGAACTCTGCAGGGTGAACCCATCACCTTCTGCGAAGAGACATTTGTGTCCCATCGTTCCACGGTCATGAGGCAGTTCCTGCAGAATGCCATCCAGCTCCAGCTCTTCAAGCAGTTCATCGATGGCCGTCTGGATCTCCTCAACTCTGGCGAGGGCTTCAGTGATGTGTTTGAAGAAGAGATAAATATGGGAGAATATGCAGGTAAGAAATAAAGTATTTTAAGGTAATTTCAGGCACTGAAGTTGACTCACCATTTGTGGGCCATTATGATGTAACTGGTCATTGCAGTTAGGTAAATAAGGGAGGTTCAGGGGGTGGAAGTGCCTTAAGTTTTTGTTCATTTGTCCATCAAGGACTTTGAATAATGTATTGCAGTGTGAAAAAAAGGCTGCTCAATCTTAAAAAACCTCACCTTTACCACTTGAATAAAGTACAGCTAAAGAGTTCTTGCAGTGGAGGAAAATCCTTGACTCAGAACCACCTCAGATTTCTTTTGGTGATCTTAAAAACATCCCAGTGTTCTCAAATGCCTGAGACAGTGTAGAGAAAATAGAAAAGTGTAGGCCTCTCATCAATGCTTTGTCATTGTGTTTCCACTCAAAGACAAGTCTGGCTGTCCTGTCCGTGCTCCTAGAGCCGCTCAGTGCCAGCACTGCACATTTGGAGCTTGTTTTCTGTGCAGCAGAGTTACATTTTGTGTTTGTGATCCTCCCTAGGTAGCGACAAGCTGTACCACCAGTGGCTCTCCACAGTGAGGGTAAGAACATGGTATCTTCCAACAGAAACTGTAATCCTTGTTGGCCCATGGTGCAGCTCTGTGTGGCTGGTATCCCTGTCCGGGTCACCACGACGAACCTGCTCCTGCAGAGTTCAGCTGTGACCAGCTCCAGCTCAGCTGGGAGGAACTGATGTGCTCTTCAGCTGGAGCGAAGAATGGGGGAAAACGGAACGTGGCTTTGTTTGTGAGATGAACTGGAAGACAAGGGCTCTTGGGAGACACTGACATTTCTCCTTTGAGGACTCCTGTGTCGAACATACTTGGCAAAAAACCAGAGAAGCATTCAATGTGTTTTTACTTGTGCCTTTTTCTTTACTTTTGCCATTTTAATACTCAGCTCTGCTGATAAGCATGGCTAATACTTTGCTATTTTAGACCAAGAATGGGGGATTGTAGATGGCTGTTTGCTGTGAGGAGCTCTGATAACATTTCTTCTCTCGCTGTAATTACAGAAAGGAAGTGGAGCCATTTTAAACACGGTAAAGACCAAGGCTAACCCTGCCATGAAGACTGTCTATAAGTTCGTAAGTATTGAGTACTGGCTTACTACTGGGATAAGAGTCTAATTACCATTCTGCTTTAACCTTGCAAATGACACTTAAGACTTAGATTCATTTTTATTGGACTCACAAAATTACTTCAAATACACATTCATCTAAATTTCAAATTTAAATGAGAAGGTAATTCTGAAATTGAAACATAATTGGAATGCAGAGGAGAATGGGAACTTGTGATTTCTTTTGAAAGTAGGGATGATAAATTCTATGTATTACACAGAACTCTTTCTGGGAAGTGGTGCCTGTGTGCTCTGCGGAGCAGCTCTACCATCTCATCACTGCTCGGCAGGAAATCATTGTTCCCTCAGGTTTCCCTGCTTGCAGCTTCATCGAAAGAAGGGAATCCTCTCATTTTCCAAATTGTTTCCATCTTTTCTAAATGTCAATTAATTTTCCCTGGAGATTTCTTATACCTGCTTATTTAGACCCCACCTCACTGAGTTATTCTTTGAGTGGAACTGTTCTCAGTGCTGCTAGCAGCAGCTGGTGTGAGCTGTGCTATCCTGTGTGCTGCCAGCTCCGCTGTGCGGGATCAAACAGCGCAAAACAAGTCAGCAGTTCCTATGTGCTCAATTTTAGGAAATAATGCCACAAAGAGCATTGAGGTAACTATTCAAACTCTGGTTTTCTCCTGCCTTCCTCCAGCCTGAGAGAGATGAGGAGGATGAGATTGGCTCTGTAGATGGAACATCCAGAGCACTGCAAGGAGTGTTTGCTTTCTGCTAGTGTGGAAGAATATTTATTGCAAAGAAAAGTACTGAGAGGGGAAGACGGAGGGTGTGGAATGCAAAAACAATGAAAGATGTCTATGGCATCAAAATCAGGAAAACAAAATTTTTCCAGCTGTGGTGTGGTGGTGTTTTTTGTTTGTTTGGGGTCTTTTTAGCTTTCTGTTGGTTTTGATGTGCTTTCAGTATCCTGTTACAGTTTGTTTTTTTCCTTGCCATTTTTAGTAACAAAAATCAAACTTAGTCACTGCTGGAAATAGAAGGGGATTTTAACTTAAATTAATTTTTCATGCAGGCAAAAGATCATGCAAAAATGGGAATAAAAGAAGTGAAAAACCGCTTGAAGCAAAAGGTACTTGAAGTTCTTATTCAAAATGTGTAAGCACCAGGTCTGAAATCCTCAGCCACTGAAAGCATGATGTGATCAATAGGAAGCTGTTTGATACGGTGTTGTTAGCACACTTCAAAATGCATTACCAGCTGTCCCCGATTTTTCACTGTTATAAATATTCACAGACACAAAAAAATTTTCTTCAAATACATCAAGGCTCTGACTTAAACCCACAAAAGCCAGAAAATTGAGTGTTGTGTTTGGAGCAGTCCCAGTGCTGTCCTTCGTGCTGGGGCACTGTGGGGCTGAACTGCATGTGCACTGGGAGCTCTCCCCTCCAGCCATGGCAGAGAATGCCTTCAAACAGCAAATTGTTGCTATTTCTACAGCAGTCAGTCAGGGAAAATAGTATTGTCTCTGTCTGCCATTGGAAAGGATTTCTGTGTTTCCTGGGTGTCTGCTGCAAAGTGCAGACATGAAGGAATTTATCAGAGTTGGTGTTCATTACCAACTGGAATTATTGCAAGAAAAAGTCCTCAGACTTGTTTTCCAGATCTGTGTGTGTTTGTAAATAGCACAGCCCCAGAAATGCTCAGGTGTGTTATGCAATCCCAACTGCTCCTTTTGAACCAAAGTGTGGTCACGTTGACACACCTCATGAATGGATGGTTAGCTCTGCCTGGGTCTGTTTGAGACACTCTGTTTGCTCTGTGGAGCAGAGCTCCTGGGGTCCTTTGGGGAAAGATCTCTGACTGACTGAGGAAACTGCAGCTCTTCCTCAGAAATTCGTATTCAATTTGGTGCATAATAGTTTTGCTGTTTTTTTCTGTGCTGTCTCTGTAAATTTCTCCCCTAAATTTCTAGTCCATCCCCTTAAGGTAGGGTCAGATGTGTTCTGGGTATGGACACTGATCCACCTGAGCATGTTCAGAGTGTTCGGTCCGAGGAATTCCTGTGCAGCCAAGCTACGAAGCGATGAGCTGCCTGTGTGTCCAGTCCACCTGCTCTTCCCTCTCAGTCCCACAGCACATTGCCAGAGATTCTGGGGGGATAGAAAGTTGTTTTGGGTGCTTTCAATGTCATTTTATTTTATTGCACAGCATTATAAGTGACCACTTTAGGTGTAATTTGAAAAGAAGAGAAACATGATGCACTTTGCTTGTGTATGGATACGGATTTTTTTATGTCATTCCGTGTGTTTCATTTCTGGACATAACCTTCATGAATAATAAAATGTTTGGCCTTCTCATGTGCGTTTCTAAAGCAGCTGGAGCTGTGTAACAGGACCAGATTGTTTTCCTGTATTTTAAATGCTAATGGAATTGTGTGCTGTTGGGTGACATTTGTGTACGAGGCTGAGAAAAGCCTCACTCAGTCACTGCTTTGTTTTATTATTACTGTTGTCCTCCTGCTCTGTCAAGCAGCAAGTTTCTCTTTAAAAAACACACATAACATTTACAACTAAATGGGCCAATTTTGTCTCCCTGTCCTTGTTACATGGCGTTTCTGTAAGTGAGGTGGTTAAACATGGTTGTTCAACATGGGCTTTCACAAGAGATCGTTGTGAGCAGTTGACACGCAGCTCTACCTCTCCTTCCTGCATCATTCTGTCCTTTTCTAGCCATTCCTCTTCTCCCTTTGAGTGCAGATAGGAAGGTAACTAAAATTAGGCATTGCTCTGTTAAAAGTGCTAGAAATAGCAGGAGCTGTTGTGGTCATCCTCGTACGATTTTCAGTCTAGATGCCTGTGCTGCTCTATTACAGGTCCATTATGCACAGGTCTGTTAATGTGTCCTCACCGATTTTCAGGTGAGAACACTGTATTTTTCATGTGTTTACTTCCTAGTATGTGTAAGTGCTAACTGTTTGACATTCTGGCATCATTAAATACTTCATTTTTGCCAAATTTGGGATGCTAGTCTTTCATCTTCTGAGGGTAACCTAAGGTTATTTTTAAACTGAACTTACTGTCCACTGCATTTTAACATACTATTTTCCATTATTAATACAGAAAGTATGCAGGCCCCTGGTAAGGAAAAGTCAAATATAAACATCCCTTTTCCAGTTTTCGCTGCCAAATCTGAGCAGCTTCTGTACAAGACAGAATTTAAAAATGCAATAAAGCTGGAGGTCTGCTTCCTCCAACTCTGCATAGCAATGGTGACCTCTTAAATATAATCAAGAGCCCACGTTGCCCTTGGTCTGCTCCAGTCTTGGGTTTGAATTGCAAATGAGAAATGCAGGATTGACCTGTTGAGAGGTCACCGTGGTGTGTGTAAGGTCCTTCTTTAATATGATAGTGGAGATTGAATGGGGCTCCATTTCCATCCCTTGTTCATTTGTGGTGCAGTATTTCAAAGCAGCAGAAATAGTTTTCAGAGGATTCTTATGAGTGAGAGCAAATAATTGTTAATAGATACAGCCTGGTAGCTTTATTTTATATCTGATACAGTTCTTTTTTCTTTTCCTTTTCCTTTTCCTTTTTTCCCTGGCAAAGGCTGCCTTTTTCCATCTCACAAATGGACCGTGGTGGTCAAGTCCCTCCATTATTGGCTCATTTGAAGCTTAACTACATAGAAATAGGAAGAAGGAGGAATATGGATGGTACCAGCCTCGACTTTCAGTCGGGAGAATGTAACTGGCCGAAAGCTCTGGCTCAGACGAGCTGTATAAATGGTTGGGCACTCGGCATTAATGTATTCGGCATTATTTGAGTCACCAGAGCCTGTGTGGCTCCAGTGAGTGTCTGCAATCAATGAGCTATTGTCAGTGCTTTCAGGAGCAGCTCATTTAGGGCTTTGTAACACAACCTGCAGGATGCGTCTAGACACCCTGAATGTGTTTTCTCTTCTGTATCCAGTGTTTGTAGTCCATTACAGAAGGCCCCTGGAAAAATTACTCATGCATATTTAAACAGAAGAAAACCTTATTCAGTTTAGGTGACAAACTTTACATATTTGTCAATATATCTCTTTCTCTGAAGTCCCTCCTTGAAAACAAATAGGTAGGAAAGATCCCACCTGAACAGACAGTTGTTGGGGGAAGTTCTGCTCATGGAGATGTTATGGAGATCATTCTGGAGTGTGGTAGATCACTGTAGATCTTCTTCTGCAAATCTATAAAGTACCTTTTGTCCTCAGGCAAAAGATTGGTTTGTTTTTAATAATACCCTTCAATTACACTTTCTCTTCATTAAAAGTCACTGAAACATTGCTAGATTATTGCATTTTTGGAGAATTTATTGCAATAATGAGTAACTTATTACCTTCCATTTTTTTCCAGGATTCGAGGGGATAGGTCTCATGTTTTTTGTTATCCTGAACAACATATGTGACTTAAGCTACTTCAGCCATGTCTCACTGACTTAGCCCAATTTCAGGTCTGTCAGTGGGCGAAGGGGTGGCCCTGACTCCTCTGAAGGACTCTGCTTTACATTCCAGTTAGAGAATTGCCTGATGGTTTGGCATTTAGTAATTGTAAAGCTACTTGGAGCCCTTAACTTGGGGCATTTCAACAGAGGTGTCACTGTTTATTGAACTCAAAGGTGTTTTCACTGAAGGTAGAAAACAGACTAACAGTGGCAATAGCTTTAGAACATGTTACTTTTATGTGCAATTACATTGTCAGAGAAGTGCAGCCAACCTATAGCAGTAAAATCTCAAGGATTTGCAGTGATCATTACACATCTGAGGGGATTTTGCTTAATGACTTCATCTCTCTGTATCTCTCATCTCCTCATGTCCAAACCTTTGTGTCATTTTTCCATTGTCTTTGGAAATTTGCCTGGATTGGAAGGTGCTTTGCTTTCGGTTGATTCCCAGCTGTGTTGCCTTGGTTGGAGTCACAGCTCCAGGTAGAACTCTGGCAGCTCTGCAGGGCTGGAAACAGCCACTGCTCAGTGCAGGCCTTGGAGGTGCTGGACACCTTGAGGCACGTTTGGTGTGGCTACACCTGCACAGAAACCTGCAGCTGAAGTTAGTGTTTCATGTCATTGCAGTATACGTTGCTGCCATGGGTTATATGATGCCAAAACTGAGCAGATCCCTTGGTGGCCCTTTGCTGTTTGGAGCTGGAGTATGAGTTGGACAGAGGTTTACGTTCCTTGTCATGGCCTTGTTTTGGGGCTCTTTGTTGCTAATTCTGTGGACTTTGTTGTACTTTTGAGAGCCAAGGTGCCATTGTGCTGCTGGAGCACGGGGGGAGGAAAAAGTTTTTCTCTCTAGTTTGACCTTAACAAGTTGTTAATTCCCCATGATCCTTATGCCCATATTGGGGAGCCACTGCTCCACCAGCTGGATCTAAAGAGGGGTCTCAGCTTCTCTGTGGAGCAGACAAAGCCCCTTAGAAAGTCCATCCAGCTTTTTGTTTCATTTGACCTAAACACATTAGGTCAGTCTGTGTCCAAAGGAACCATTTCTAATTGGCCATCAGCTTACATGGCTCATTATTGTACCTGAGCGAGCCGGGAGCTCGCGGGGGCATGTCAAAGGTCAGGGAATCAAAGCCCTGTCTGTGTCAGCAGCCACCCTTAGGTCAGCCTTGCAGAGCTACAGCGTGTGCAGGCTTCTCTCTATATTTTCCCAGCATTATTTCCTTGACATTGTTGCAGAGATGTAAGGTTTGGGGCCCACTGCGTTACAGACTGTTTCTCAGCTGACTTTCAAACTCTTTGCTCCTTGTCTGATTCCTGGTGTCTGCAGGCCTTTGTCTTTTGAAAAACCTGTGTTCCATGCACCATGCCTGCACTGGCCAAGTCCTCCAGCCTAGGCTGATGGGCCACTTCACTTCTGGAGATGAGAACTAATGTCAAAGCAAGCAAAGAAGAGTTCTGCTAGGCAGCAGTTGGGTCCGTATGCTCTCCTGGAGACATATTCAATACACACCAACCCAAAGACAAAAGGCAAAGCTAACTAAGCTCTGAGTTTCATCTCTCCTTGCCCTTTCCACAAGTAATTGTTGTTCTGCAGATAATTCTGGGCAGTACATAAATGGAATTGCTGTGTTCATTTAGGTTTACAAAAAGCAGAATACCTGTTGCTGGGTTTCTGTTGTATTAGTTTCTCAAATAGAAATCTGAGCTATGTTTTTTCTCCACATACATTTCCTGGCTTTTGTGTGTGTAAGTCAGACGTTGCGTTGGAGGTCCCTGTTTGCACACACCTTGGGCACTGGGAGGAGAGAGGGGTTATTATGTACAAGCTCTGATTGACAAACCACGATGAAATGTTTCATGCTAATGATGTTTTCTTTTCTGTACTTTGGTTTCTTTTTCCCCTGACATCCAAACTGTTAGTCAGCATTATCCTCTAGTGTCTCCTTTGTGCACCTTACCCTTACTCAAGAGTGTTCCTGGCCATGCTATTCACCTTTTCCTACCACACAGGACATTGCTGAGAACGGGTGTTCGGCAGCGCCGGAGGAATCTCTGCCAAGGACAACGCCGTCACCCTTGGCTGAGAAGAAGGACCCGAAGTTAAGAGAGGACAGAAGACCAATCACAGTACATTTTGGTCAGGTAGGTCTTAGTGTTAGCTTTCTCCAAATCGTGTGACTCAGCAAAAACAGAGAAAAGTCACAATAACAAATATGCCAATTGTTTCAGTATTTTTAGTCACTGAATTTCGTTGTAGTTTTATTTGTTGTATCTGCTTAAATGGGATTCTACAAAGTGACTTTTCCTGGGTTTACTAATGCCTTTTGTTCACATGATGATTTTGAGGAAGATAAATCTAAGTGAGTGGGGGGTGAAGCATAATAGTTATAGCAATTTTGTAAACTACTTTCTGGTTCTCTTAGCATGCAAAGTGCTGCAGCCCTCAGGACTGAGGTGTGGAATTTAAAATGTCCTCAGTTATCTACCCAGATCGTTAGTGTCAATATGGAATATCCAGCTATTAAAGCATTTCAACATTCTCTGAAAATTAAATGCAATGAACTAAGATGGAAAAATCAATTAATAGCTTGTTAGTGTTCTCTGTATTCAGTATGGACAGCTGAGCTGCTCACATCCGTTACTCCTGTAATGTGTCTTCTGGTATGTCTGCAAACCAGGGAGTTGGTGTGGCTGTTTTAGGAGCTAGTGGTTTAGGAAATGTTGGAGTTGCTGTAATTTTCATAGACAAACACACAGTATTTATTACCAGTTTGCCAGTGTTCCCTATTAAGGGTAGCCTGACTCAAAAAATGACATGATTTGTGTTCACAGTTCTCTGTTTCTCTGTACCCACTCTTCACAGTTCTGATCAGAAAACAGGAGGGAATATCTGATTTTGTCTAAGGAAGCAAAGTGTAATTTGAAACCAATTGTAAAACATTATAAAATGTGAAGCAAGGCAGGTTTTTGGAGAAGTGTCCATGAACAATGACCAGTCGGTATAGCTGCACTGGCTGTTCAGGTGTGAGAGAGAGCTGCACGAGATTTCATCAGTGCTCAGAGCAGTGTTTGTACAATTTTAGAATTAGATTTATTTCTTTCACCACTGTGCTAAATGTAGGTTCTTGTAGCCATTTTTTAAAGCAGATTCTCTTCCAATTAAGTATTTGCAGTAGTGATTTATTTTTCTCTGACTTCCTGTGCCAGTACGATTGAGAGGAACTGGGGCTACTGGAGGAATGCAGCCATCCAGCTCCAGCAGGGACATGTTACATTTCATTTGAAGCAGCCAGAAATCAGATAATATTATCATCTGTTTGCAGTTTCTGTGAAGCATGGATGGTTCAAACATTTTGGTAGATTGATGAAATATATATTTGAGTGATAAGTGCAACTTTAAATTCATGAGGATTTTTAGCAGTCGCTTTCCAGTTTTTTAATGATCGTTTTCCCTGTGTCAAAAGAAACACATCAGCTTTCCTGCCCCCCTGGCTGTGGTGAGAGGCTCACTGGCTAAGTGCTTATTGCTGTCATTGCATTACAAGTGTTGCCTTCCAAAAACTGATGTGACTTAGCAGTTGTAGGGCTCTCTCCCTCACAGCCTTTGTCCTGGTCTGCTTTTCCCAACAGCCCAGTGCCAAAGCAAAGGGGAAATTGTACTTTCATGCAAAAGGAAAGGATGCTCAGCTTTATGAAATATAGATTAAGGCTTCGGGGAGGAAAAAAGCAGCAACATTTACTGTTTAAATAGGAGGTGGCTTCTAACTCGTGATTAAAGGCAGAGATTTTAGTGTCACTTTTAACTCTGTCTGGAATACAGAAGGTGGGAACAATTAAAAAGCCACAAGAACTCTGAGATAAGGGCTGTTTGTGCATTCATAGCTCTTACAAACCGAAGAGGATGAAAGAGGCTTTTTTCTCATTGTCACTTGCTTTCTACCTCTGCAGCATTATGGCAGGGTATGGCAGAGGCAGAGTTTTTAAAATGCATGCATGCGGCTGGGGGTCAGGCCCCGCGGATCAGTAATGCAGGGAGCCCGTCCGGCGCGCTGCAGCGGCGAGCGGATCAGTAATGCAGGGAGCCCGTCCAGCGCGCTGCAGCGCGAGCCTCGGCGCCGCCGCGCCAGCCTTTAATTGAGACATGCTGTCAAAGTGACAAACACATTTGCATACAGTCTATTTATTTTCGTTGGAAAGGTCTGCAGTCTGCTGTTGGTTGAACATTCTTAATCAGCTCGCTGTAAGTGAGCCGGCAGCGAGCTGTCCTATGCTGGGTGCTTCTCTTCATTACATGACAGATTAGCTAAAGGGGGATGGGCTAGCAAGCCAGCAGCAACCTTTAATTTTAACTCATTATCTCTCACCCTATAGTGAGGTACTTTCTGGCTTTTCCAAACGCAGTTGTGTGTCTGCAGTTGTTAGGCTGCAAGAAACATCAGTAAAATGCCTCGAAATGCCTCTGAAAGCACAGCACCTCAGTGATGGTTGGCCAAAATCTGGCAGTAATTAGGTGACTGGGAGAGATTCCATGGTGTCGTGGCTCGTCTTGGTGAGTGGTGCTTAGGCATCGTTGGAGAGCCTTGTTTATTATGGAGTTGTTTTTGTGGTGCTTGCTGTAATGCTAAGACATTGTGGGAAAGCTCCCCTTGATGGTGAAAGGAAAGATTTTCACCAGATAGCCTGGGGCAACTCAATAAAGATTTAAACAAAGTCTCAGTAAGGCACCAGGAGGCCAATGTCAATGGTGGGACCACAGCTTTTTCCCCAGTGTGCCTTCTTGTTTACCCAGGATGTACCTTTCATACTGACCCTTGGGTCAGCCAAGTACAGCAACTATCACCATAGGCTCTGGGCAATCTGGTTGTACTCAACAAGTAGCAGGAGCAGTAGGGGCAACTCAGGGTTTAGTGAGAGGGAACGATTTTCAAGGCACGGACAAGATTCACACGAAGAGTTTGTAATACTGAGTAGTGCTCTCTGTTTGGGGGAAAAGTAAGGTTGGACTTGATGATCTTAAAGGTCTTAACGTAATGACTCTATGAATGTCATTATTGCTTGCTTTCTTCTGGCTTTTGTCTTTAAACCTGAGCAAAGTGTACTTAAAGCATCAGAACACATGCTGCATATCCAACTGCCATTATCTGCTGCCGGAGCTGTCCTCGGGATCCTTCCCAGTGGGCCAGGTAGGGCAGGCACTGGGGAGCCCAGTAACCATTGACCAGGGCAGAGTGGGACACTAGTACAGGTGATGTGAGACTCGGGTGTTTGGAGCTTATATTATTTTCATACCTACACTCCCACATTTTAGGTAGAACACACATGTCTATCTGTGTTATCTGAGCTGTTTGGAGAATAAACACTACATTGCACCGTGGTGACTTTTGAACACCTTCCTTGTCCAAGACTGCAGCTATTGGGGCTACTTTGGCAGCACCCACAGTGTTCATGCAGGATTGTTACCTGTGTCCAGTCTTCCCACCAGTCTTAGAGGTGGTGTGAGCACACAGGGCGAGCTCAGGGGCTTTAGAAACAAGTTCTTCCTCTGGAGCTTTTCCACAGTCAGTAGCACAGCTTATCTAGTAAAATTAAACCAGCAAATGATAAGCTGCCAGAAACATCACTTGTTGGGAAAGGGAATCATTTCATTAGAAGCAAGTGATCCTGGCAGTTCTGTGCAGCTCTCTAATTGTGTCTGTTATAATTAGAATGTCTTTTGTCAGCTTAGCTGTGTTTGTGCTTCTGTGGCTTGTTTTTATTTACCAGCAAATAGGAAATTTTATTCCATTTATGTACCGAAAGGTAAATCATAAGAAAATACAAAAGACTTTTCCCAGTATGTCTTTACTGAAGAGATTCAGTCATGTTCCACTCTTGAAACTGCAGAGAATCAGTGCTCTGGGGGCTAATGTAAATAACTGTGAAACAAATGGAAAATACACTCATGACTAAAGCAGCTTATCTGACTGTGGAAAGGCTTCTCCACCTTCTCTTCCTGTCTGATTCTGACTGCTGTGAAACTTTTGCAGGCCATGACATGGAAATTGCCATCTCATTTGCTGTTTTGGTCCCATTTGCTGTTCATTTTTCCTATTCCCGATGTGCACTTGGAGACACACAGCAAACAGCTCAGCAGAGCTCTTCTTCCAGGAGATTAAACGGGATTAAGAGGTCAGGGGGAAGATGGGGAGAACACCAGCCAGCTACATTCCAGGAATGCAGAGCTGCATCGCTGAGGCCAGAGGCAGCAGAGGAGGGATTATCTCCAGGGTAAAAGGGATGAAGCAGGGAAGGGAGGAAGGCTCCTTTGCCAGACCCTGTGACTCCCTTCACACCCAGGTGCATCGGAACAATAGCAGATTCCCCTGGATCACAGCAGGCATTGTGTGGCACTGAGGTAGAAACCAAAGGGGAAAGGGGAAAACAAGTTCATTTGCTGATATTCCGCGAGTGTGTGCTCTGGCTGCAGAGCCAGCCTCCTCTTCTGGCCACTCTGGGCTGCTTGGACAATAGCAGGACCTTCATTAAGAGAATGAGCTTCCCCCTTCCACTCTTCCCCACGGATGAGCAGTGTGGACTCCATGTGCCTTTCTGCTGAGTGACATGGTCTTTTCTCCTTCTCTCCATTTGATTCTTTATGGATTTAGCCTAAGTATAGGCCTGCTTCTTTTAAACTATTTTGTCTTCAGAAGGCATTTCTTCTACCCTCATTTCTTCTTACTCCTCTCTGTGACTGTTCCTTTCAGGAAGGAATTCACTGATGCTCAGTATAAGTCACTTGGTAAGAAAGGCAAATGTCTTGACCCAGAGGCACTTGTCCGTGAAATGTCTGCTTGAGACCCCTCAGATGTCCCATGAGGTTCTTGGGACAGTGTTCTTACTCAGGGAGCCAGTGGACAAGATATAATGCATTTGGTTGAAACTGTGCTTTGTGGCGTGCAAGATTTCAGAAATGGCAATGCATGAGGTAGAAGTTAGCTAACTAAAAGGCTTTCACTCTTGTCATGCGTGTAAATATTTGACAAGTGAGCCCTGGTGCTCTCTTTAGGAAGGTGTACACCACCTGCAGGGCCTGCCCAGAGGTTGCTGCCTCTCGTGCACTCACTGCCCAGGACTTTCTAATGAGAAACCAGACAGCTGTGTTC